GATTTCTATTCAGTAAAATTTGCTGGGCGATAAGAGGATTTAAGAACTTACGACTTATCCTCCCCACCATCTTCCCTCCCCCTTGTTTTAGCGTCACAAAGAGGAAGAATATTGTTTGTTTTAATACTGCCACACTCCAAGCATATCCATAATAGTGCTTGGTACCCAATAAATATTTGTTCAATAAATGAATTCAAATCTCATCTGCAGAAAAGGTTAACATTAAAACAATTCTTTCCATCTTCCACCTTCCCCAACTTTTTAAGTATTTCAGACCTTCAGGAAAAGTACAAAAATAGTAAAATGAATAGTTTACTAACACCATTTTGTCACATTTGTTTTCTCTACGAAGGCACACATGTAATTCTGTTCAACTACGTGACAATTAGTTGCAAAAATCGTAATATGTCACCCCTAAGTATCTGAGCATCCAGCTCCAAATACAAGGGCATTCTCCTATAGCACTATAATGTAACTGTCATGCTCAGGAAACTTAACGGGGTGCTACTCTGCAATGCGCAATCCACAAATCCTTCCATGTACCCCAAACATCCCTCACAGTTAAACAAAACAAAAACAAAGAAAACAAAAAAGCACCCACATCCAATCAAGAGTTATGCATTACAGCTGCGTGCCATTTCGCTTTGGCTCCCTTGATTTAGAACAGTTTTTGAATGCTCCCCCAACCCCTTCTTGTTCTTCCAGGAAAAGGACTTTTGGGCCTTATATTAAGCCATGTCCTTCAACCTGGATTTGCATGACGGTCTCCTCACAATCTGAATCAGAGTAAACATTCTTGGCAGGTGTGTGTCATTTTAATACTTCTGGAACAGGGCGTTAGAAAGACTATTTTGCTTTCTTACCAACCACCCCCGTGGTCCCATCTCCAATTTCATCATCCTGTGATTTGGACAGCTCCACCATCAGCTTGGCAATCTGGTGATCGACGTCCATCATGCTTAAAATGGTGGCACCGTCATTTGTCACTGTCACGTCGCCATCCTTGTCCACCATCATTTTATCAAGTCCTAGAAAGATGGCAATGTTTATAACGGCATTAGGCAAAAGAACAGAAACAAAATCTGTACCAAAAGTTCTAAAAAAAAAAAATTAGTCTCTTGACCCAATTCCTACTTACAGAACTTATTATAAAACTTTAACATACATAAAAGAATATCTACATGCAAACATCCTTTTAGGTTGGCGAATACAAAGCAAGACGCTGGAAGCAATCTAAAGGGCTAAAGCCAGAGAAATGGGAGGAAAAAAAAGGAGCATCACTAAATGTCGTATTAATCATAAAAAGGGACAACTACGATGTGGAAAATGCTAATGAAATGATATGAAAAGGGAGAAAAAAACCCTGACGTAAAACCATATGCACCTATGATCGTGAACATGTTGAAAGCCCGGAATACACAAAACAAGTTTGTTAGTGGTGGGGACCTAGGATGCCACCTGCCCCACGTCCCAACTTTATAAAAGGGTTGTATCAACTGTCTATAATTGATAACATTCGTCAAAAAACACAGAATGGTAGTCTCTTACCATTTGGTCCAAGTGATGTTCTCATTGTATTTGCTACAGCCTTTGCCGCCATGATATGAGACTGAAAAATGAAACAAACAGAAAAAAACAAATGTTCAAGGGGTGCCTGGGTGGCTCAGTGGTTAAGCGTCTGCCTTCGGCTCAGGTCATGACCCCAGGGCCCTGGGATCAAGGCCCGCTCAGCGGGGAGCTGCTTCTCCCTCTCCCATTCCCCCTGCTTGTGTTCCCTCTGTTGCTGTCTGTCAAATAAATAAATAATATCTTAAAAACAGGAAAGAAACATACAAAATAAGCTCCTTTAAAAAAAATGAAACAAAAACACAAACATTCAAGTTATGTATTTTAATGGTTAAAAGCACACAACTAATGATTATAAAATCTACTTCTAGTTTCTGTTCTCTAGAAGCTTTCACATTTAAGTGGCAACACGCAAATCTAAGTAAGTGTGGTAACCTTTACAACCACCAGCTTTAGTAGACCATTCTCATGTAAAAGCAGCAGAACCTAGTGCTTTAACTCAGCACATCTACGAGGCAGGTTCTCCTACCTGCCCCATTCTACAGCTGAGAGCGTGGGCAGTCTGGCCGGGCAGGCCATGGAAGACCACTTTGCAATGCTAACCTCATACGAAGAGTCCAGATGCACATGTACAGCACCTTGAACTATCACACTACGGTGTACTGCAGAAATGTACCCTTCTCTTCCATGGTCGGGCCAGTACATGGCCTACATGTGAAAAATCACCCTTGTCATGTGCCAAGAGTATCAATAAAGTAATGGAAACTTGCAAGCATCCCTTCCTGTTTGCGCCACAACCAGGCTCATTTTCCCTCCACATGTTCCTTTGCTCCCAGTCTCGCTGTCACCAACCTAACCTGGATCCACAGCACCCTACAGAAATCCAGGGTCTCTTATGTACTCCTACCCTTTAGATTCATCTGACATCCAGCTAACCCATCCATTTTTCTCAAACATGCCATTTGCCAGTCCGCAAACCTTAAATGACTCCCTAGTGCCTCAACACTGAAGTCTGAAAGCTTCAGCGTTTTCTTTAATGCGCTCCGCAACCTGAGAGCTACTTTCCCTTCCAGTGACGCTAGTCCCTGCTTGTTCCCCAAATATGTCCTCTGTTCCTTGAAGCAGTACGGCGCAGAGAAGCTGCTCTGCTCATCAAAATCCCAACTTTCAAAGCAGTTCAAATGCCCATGTTCTGTGAAGCCTTCCCGGTCACTCCATCCGGCAGGTAGGAAAACAGAAACTTCATAGGATCTGTGAAAATGCTGGTCATTAAAATACACATTGAAGGATTTGTCTGTGTAACGGAATTTTTAAAGGATCATCATCACAGATAAGCAGTTCTTAACCAGGGATGATTTTGTCCCTCAGGAGACATCTGGCAAGGCCTGCAGACATCTTTGGTTGTAACAAATGGGGTGGGGGCTGCTACTGGCATGGACGGAGTAGGTAAAGGCCTGGATGCTGCTCAACGTCCTGTACGGGACAGGCCCGCAAACAAAGAACGATCAGGCTCCCCAAATATTAAAATGCCAAAGCTGAGAACTCTGGCTTTAGACCATCGGTTCTGGGGTCAGCCAGAGGTGTGCTTGAATCCTGGCCCCTTTCTTCACTGACAAGCTGCGCCACCTCCCTGAACCATGGTCCCTCCTGAAGTGACCCCACGTAACCCTCATCCTCAGCCTGAGGGAGGTGTACTACCCCCACTGAGAAACGAGGTTCGGAGACGCTGTGCAAACAGTGACGACTGTGTGGCTTCTTCACTTGTTTAAAATACAAAGACGCCAAGTGAACCGAGACACCTCAGCCCTGGAGATGCGATCTCACTTTTAACAAACCCTAAAAAAGTCCGTGTCCTCTCAAAGCTTCCACTGCATTTTGTCAACATCTGTGTTCGGATGACTTTCTCACCTGGACTCCTGCTCCTGGTTTAACTCCTCTGGTCCCTCCTGTCCCCTTTCGTCCACCAGACCCAACTTCCTCAAGTACAGTTCTACCCGAACTGCGGTTCTGCTCAAAACCCCCTTACTGGCTCCCCGCCCTCCCAGGGTTTAGCATCTTGACTGCGAGGCACTGAAGCTTCCACCTTCAGGGAGCTGCTGTTGACTCGAACGAGACTGGGCTCCATCGAAAACCACACTGCTCTTTCCCTCCGCAGTGCGCCATGCGTCTTCCCGCCCAGCTTTTCGCCTTTGCTGTCCCCTCCCCCCCAAGTGCTACCTCTGCCACATTCAGGACAGTGACCCCATCTCTGGTCAAAAGCCACCCTCCACCGTTTATCCGCATCCACACGCTGCCTCGTATTCCTTGCATCATGGTCATGGGTGCCCACCTTCCACTCTGGCGGTGGTATTTTCTTCTCTAAGGGCACACGGTTTTCGTTTTCACGACACCACATCCACCATCACGCCAGGTATAAAGGTGCTGACAAATTAAATACTTCGTAAACGACCAAACCTCTAAGAAGTGACAAAGAAAGGGAGCCTCATCCTTTGGGGCTGTGGCTTGTTCCCCGGCCAGGTGACCAGAGAATACCCCCCCCGCCTCTTCCCGATGGGAACACCGTACGAACGACCAGGGGCCGGAGAAGCCGTCGGAGGCGGGCTCGCAGCCTAGGCACTGAACTGCCCCACCCAACGCTACGGGCGCCAGCAGCTCCACCCCAAACCCCAAACCCCAAACCCCAAACCGGGATTAAAGGCTTCTACGCCGGCCTCGCCCCAGCTCAAGGAGCGGGGTGCAGGCCGGAGACGAGACGGGGTCCCCGACCTTTCCGGGGAGCACATGGCGGAACCGCTCCCAGGCGTGCGCAGGCGCAGAGCCACGGGCTTTGGCCACCCCCTCTCATGCCACCGCCAGCGTCCGTCCTGTTACCTTGAGAGCCTCAAGTCCCATAAGACGAGATTTGCGATCCTGATCCTTGATGATGAGGAAAGGGCGCCCATATTCATCGAAGGCGAGGGTCCCGACCGACGCCATGGTGCAGCAGCAGTGGTTACTTTCCCCCAACCGGTGGACACCGCGCCGGAAGCGAGAACACGCCTTCCGCTCGCGGGAGGACGCAAGAGTGCGCGCATGCGCAGTCCGGGACGCGTGAGACTTATTTTTCACCCGAGACTAGTTTGACGCCAGACAGTACCTTCTGGAATCAGAAGCCTTAGGAAACTTCTATCATCCGGGAAGCTGTGGGGGAGGGTGAAGTTCGAAGACACGGACGGGAAGTTAAAACCCACGAGCCAAGAGTAGATGGGAACTCATTTGCCAGAGCTGTACAATGGGGAGTTTCTGGGTAGTGGGTCCCCGACGAGGAACTCGTTTACTTGCAGCATTACTTTCTCCTTCCGTCCCACCCCCGCGCCGAGAAGATGGTAGAGCCCACTTCCGGACTTCCACCCTTTCCCCTCTCCCCGCCTCCGCCCCCTCCCCCCGCCCGCCCGCCCGCCTCAAGCCGCAGCGGGAAGTCTCGCGATGGAGGGAGGAGGCGGTGAGCCGGCGGGGGTGGAGGGCGGCGGGGTGGCGGGCGCGGGCCGCGTGTGGGGCTGGCGCCTGTTGGGCGTTGCGAGCTCCCGGTCGGCCGGGCAGGAGTGGGAGCCCCCGGTGCACGGGGCGCGGGCCGCTCGCTGGTACCGGCATTTAGCTGCCGGGGCGGTTCCGAGCACTTTGGGGCGAGTAACTCACGGGGTCTGCCTCGCGGTGTTCTGAGCTGTGAGCTGGAGGCACACTGGGTGGGAGTCTTGTAACGCGGCCGCTGACTAGCTGGGTCCTCGGGAAGTGACTCACCGGCTTTGTTCCGCCGTTACCTTGCCTGCAAAAACGTTAGTAGTGACGAGAGCATCTGCCTTGCGCAGCTCCTGCAAGGATGCGGGGAGAACAGTGCCTGGCCCTTAGCAAGTTCTGTTTAAGTGTTTGTTGAAGACATCCCCATTTTGCACAAATAGTCCAGTAACTTGAGCATACAGCTCGTAGGAAGCAAGGTTGCACAGCCCAGCGCAAAGGGTCCCACTCTTAATTCTATCTTGAGAGTACTCTGTCCTCTAAATCCCTCCTGCAGCGTTTGCTTAAGGGCACTGGTCATGACCTAATACTTTATAGGCTTAAATTCGGCCATAGAAAGTGATAAAATACAGTTGATCCTTAAACAATGTGGGGGCTAGGGGTGCCCGCGCAGTCTAAACTTGTAAAGTCAGACCTCCCGTGCAGGCGAAAATGCATGTATAACTGACCCCCCCCCCCCAAAAAAACCTTCGCTAATATGTTGTTGGGAAGCCAGTTACCATATTTTGTTATATGTATTACATACTGTATGCTTACAGTAAAGTAAGCTGGAGAAAAGATGTTATTAAAATCACGAAAGAAAATGTTTACAATAGTGCATAAAAAAAACCACCCATGTTTAAGTGGATCTGTGCAGCTCAAACCGGTGTTGTTCAAGGGTCTACTGTACTGATCCACGGATCTTGAAAACATTACGCTAAGTGAAAGCAGCCAGTTACAAAAGAGCGCACACTATATGATTCCACTCCCATGAAAGTCCAGAATAGGAACTGTAGAGACAGAAAGTAGGTAAGTGGCTGCTTAGGGCTAAGGTGTGAAGGGGGGGTGTGTGTGTGGGGAGTGATAGCTAATAAGGGGTTTCTTCTTGAAATAATGAGAATGTTCTAGAATTGACTGTGGTGATGGTTACACATATCTATGAATATACTAAAATCTTTGGTTTATGTATGTTAAATGGGCACATTGTATGGTATATGAAGCTGTTAAAAATTATGGAGCTCCCCCCGTACCCATAGTACTGAGACTAACAGTAGCAGCTAACAGTCATCACTTACTCTCTCATTTAGAGCACTAAGTGCTTTATATGCATTATTTATTTAACTGTTCCAATAACCCCATGAGGATAGTATTATTTCTGAATTCTACAGGTGGAGAACCTGAGCCTTGGCCAAAACTTATCTAATGTAACACACTAGGTAAGTTCTGTGACTCCAGAACTTTATGACTCAAATCCTTTTAACCACTGTACTGTATAATCGGAATACCCACAGGATAATTTTGCAGAGGCATGGCAGATGGTACTTTGACTTTTTAAGAAACAATAAAATGCATGACTATTTACTATAGCATGTAAATTCCTCCACATGATGCTGAAAGGCATAACTGAAAATGTATTTAAAACTCTTGCTTTCTACCAAACACATCACCTTCCTAATCTTTACTTTTATCTTATTTCTAGCACCAGCAGTAGACTCTTGTTGTTCTTGTTTCTGAGTTGGTTTTCCACTGGGAAACCAGTTTTAAAAATCACTTGAGGGGACCTCAGCTGTCAAGAACAAAGCTCCAGTGTGTGTGAGATGCTGGTAGTTGGCCACTGGCCTTGAGCAGTGACTCACTGCAGAGGACCAGCTTTTCGTGTGTCCTGTGTTCACATCTGTACCTCACAAATTGTAACAGATCACCACATTTCCAAATTGTAACAGACCCCCCCTCCCCCACCCACCGCCCGGCCCATGTCCTAATCTGGAACCTGTGAATATGGTACACAACAGAATTTATAAATGGGATGATGTTAGGGCTTTGAGGTGAGATTATTCTGGCTTGTCCAAGTGGACCCAATGTCCTCACAAAGGGTCCCTATAAAGAAAAGGGAGGCAGGAGAGTCTGAAGAAGGTGTCCTGATGGAAGCAGAGGTTGGGTAATGGGGGGGCCATGGGCTGAGGAGTGTGGGCTGCTTCTAGATGCTGGAAAAGGCAAGCAAATCCATCCCACCTTAGGGCTACCAGAAGGAACCCAGTGCTGCTAACCCATTTCAGACATCTGACCCCCGACTGTATGATGATAAGTGCGTGTTGCTTTAACCCTCTAAGATTTCCCACTGCATCTTTGGGAGAATAATCCAGTGGGCCCTTTGAATGGTTTACTAATTCCTGAAACCATGGATGTTAACATCTTCAAGTGATAAGAATCTGTTGTTCTCCCCCCTCTTACTGTCTTCTGTTTCCTATGATTCCTGTGTTTTGGGCCTTATCTGCTCTACTAGCGTGGGAGCTGCTTGGGGGCAGCCTTGTTCCCTGTGGGGTTCAGCACGTAGCCAGCGGTGGAGGCGGTCAGCGTGTGCCGAGCAGTGTTCTAAGTGCGTTCCTTGCATCCATTCATTTCATCTGCACAGTGACCCTGTAATCCCCATGTTACAGATGAGAAAACCAAAGCTCAGAGATATGAAGGGTCTTACCTTTATCCAGGTGCAGAGTCCAGGTCCTGACCTCCGGGTCCTGCTCTTGCTGTGGTGGGCTCCTCCCTGATCAGTTTCAAAATCATTTTCAAGTCAGTTTCAGTCCCAGGAACTTGAGATCCTCTTAAGAGGATTTTTTTTTTTTAAAGATTTTATTTATTTATTTGAGATAGAATGAGATAGAGCATGAGAGGGAGGAGGGTCAGAGGGAGAAGCAGACTCCCTGCTGAGCAGGGAGCCCGATGCGGGACTCGATCCCGGGACTCCAGGACCATGACCCAAGCCGAAGGCAGTCGCTTAACCAACTGAGCCACCCAGGCGCCCCTTAAGAGGATTTTAAAGGGTAAAACTGAAGAGGAGGATATTTCAGGTATCGTTCATTTCTTTGTTTTGAAGTGACTGGAGTTTGCTTTATTCCATACTGGTGCACTGAAATGATTATTTTATCATTTGTTCTTTTTGGATCTTCTTTAAAAATCTTTTCATTATACCATACTTTTTTTTTTTTTTTTTTTTTTGGTGAAACCTGATTTTGGTCTCTTTGAATTAGTGCAACTGGACTGTAGATACCTGACCAATTTTGATGTGGAATCTCTGCATCTTATTTGAAATAGGGTAGTAATTAGACATTTTAATACTTATTTGTGAAGCTTTGTTCTAAGCCATAAAAATACGGAGTTCATGGTTAATATCGTATTAATGTGTATTTTTATTGAATTCATAAAATACCAAATTGTTTTCTAACGATGACTCCAAAAAAAATTAGTAGCTGGAAAGAAAAGATTTTAGTCAGTCTCCCATTAGAATTGAATCCTTTTCGCCATCTATGAAAAACCTACAGCGAATATCATTCTCAATGGGGAAAAACTGAGAACTTTCCCCCTAAGGTCAGGAACGCGGCCGGGATGTCCACTATCACCACTGCTATTCAACATAGTATTGGAAGTCCTAGCCACAGCAATCAGACAACAAAAAGAAATAAAAGGCATCCCAATCGGCAAAGAAGAAGTCAAACTCTCACTCTTTGCAGATGATATGATACTTTATGTGGAAAACCCCAAAGACTTCACCCCAAAACTGCTAGAACTCATACAGGAATTCAGTAAAGTGGCAGGATATAAAATCAATGCACAGAAATCAGTGGCATTCCTATACACCAACAACAAGACAGAAGAAAGAGAAATTAAGGAGTCGATCCCATTTACAGTTGCATCCAAAACCATAAGATACCTAGGAATAAATCTAACCAAAGAGACAAAGGATCTGTATTCAGAAAACTATAAAATACTCATGAAAGAAATTGAGGAAGATACAAAGAAATGGAAAAACGTTCCATGCTCATGGATTGGAAGAACAAATATTGTGAAGATGTCAATGCTACCCTAGAGCAATCTACACATTCAATGCAATCCCCATCAAAATACCATCCACTTTTTTAAAAGAAATGGAACAAATAATCCTAAAATTTGTATGGAACCAGAAAAGACCCCGCATAGCCAGAGGAATGTTGAAAAAGAAAAGCAAAGCTGGTGGCATCACAGTTCCGGACTTCCAGCTCTATTACAAAGCTGTCATCATCAAGACAGTATGGTATTGGCACAAAAACAGACACATACATCAATGGAACAGAATAGAGAGCCCAGAAATGGACCCTCAACTCTATGGTCAACTCATCTTTGACAAAGCAGGCAAGAATGTCCAATGGAAAAAAGACAGTCTCTTCAACAAATGGTGTTGGGAAAATTGGACAGCCACATGCAGAAGAATGAAACTGGACCATTTACTTACACCACACACAAAAATAGACTCCAAATGGTTGAAAGACCTCAATGTGAGACAGGAGTCCATCAAAATCCTAAAGGAGAACACAGGCAGCAACCTCTTTGACCTCAGCCGAAGCAACTTCTTCCTAGAAACATCACCAAAGGCAAGGGAAGCAAGGGCAAAAATGAACTCTTGGGACTTCATCAAGATAAAAAGCTTTTGCAAAGCAAAGGAAACAGTTAGCAAAACCAAAAGACAACCGACAGAATGGGAGAAGATATTTGCAAATGACATATCAGATAAAGGGCTAGTATCCAAAATCTATAAAGAACTCATCAAACTCAACACCCAAAGAACAAATGATCCAATCACGAAATGGGCAGAAGACATGAACGGACATTTTTCCAAAGAAGACATCCAAATGGCCAACAGACACATGAAAAAGAGCTCAATATTGCTTGGCATCAGGGAAATCCAAATCAAAACCTCAATGAGATACCACCTCACACCAGTCAGAATGGCTAAAATTAACAAGTCAGGAAACGACAGATGTTGGCGGGGATGCGGAGAAAGGGGAACCCTCCTACACTGTTGGTGGGAATGCAAGCTGGTGCAGCCACTCTGGAAAACAGTATGGAGGTTCCGCAAAAAGTTGAAAATAGAGCTACCATATGATCCAGCAATTGCATTATTGGGTATTTACCCCAAAGATACAAAAGTAGGGATCCGAAAGGGTACATGCACCCCGATGTTTATAGCAGCAATGTCCATAATAGCCAAACTGTGGAAAGAGCCAAGATGTCCATCGACAGATGAATGGATAAAGAAGATGTGGTGTATATATACAATGGAATATTATGCAGCCATCAAAAGGAATGAGATCTTGCCATTTGCAATGACGTGGATGGAACTGGAGGGTATTATGTTGAGTGAAATAAGTCAAACAGAGAAAGACATGTATCATATGATCTCACTGATATGAGGAATTCTTAATCGCAGGAAACAAACTGAGGGTTGCTGGAGTGGGGGGTGGGGTGGGAGGGATGGGGTGACTGGGTGATAGACACTGGGGAGGGTATGTGCTCTGGTAAGTGCTGTGAATTGTGCAAGACTGTTGACTCTCAGATCTGTACCTCTGAAACAAATAATGCAATATATGTTAAGAAAAAAAAAAAAAAGAAGAAGGAGATAGCAGGAGGGGAAGAATGAAGGGGGGGAATCGGAGGGGTAGACGAACCATGAGAGACGATGGACTCTGAAAAACAAACTGAGGGTTCTAGAGGGGAGGGGGGTGGGAGGATGGGTTAGCCTGGTGGTGGGTATTGAGGAGGGCACATTCTGCATGGAGCACTGGGTGTTATGCACAAACAATGAATCATGGAACACTACATCTAAAACTAATGATGTAATGTATGGGGATTAACATAAGAATAAAAAAAATGTAAAAAAAAAGAAAAAGAAACAACCTCAAATATCGGGGACTAAAAGTAATAAAAAGAAATTAATCTCTTAAAAAAAATCCTTTTCTCTAAAACACTTTTAGTTGATGGAATTTAGAACTCATGGAATCCTACATTTGTAATTTAGATTGTATTCAGCTAAATCATCCTTCTTTAAACAGTACAAGTTTGTCAATAAGTATTCTAGGAAAAAAAAACTACCGTGGATTTCAGATTTGGTGCGATGTACACATTTCCTGCTTGCTTTCCGTCTAGGTGCACCCCCAGAAATCCTCGAAGAAAGTCACTCAGGATGTGTTCTACCTACAAGTCTCAGAGCCAACAGTTTGAAGAAAAGCAGTTGGGGGTTCCTATTTACTGGGATTATTGGCGGGACGCTGGTGGCCGTGTATGCCGTGGCCACACCATTTCTAACGCCGGCCCTTCGAAAAATTTGTCTGCCTTTTGTACCTGCAACTACAAAGCAGATTGAAAATGTTGTGAAAATGTTGCATTGCAGAAGAGGATCCCTGGTCGATATTGGCAGTGGTGACGGGCGTATTGTGAGTTATGCTAAGACACTTGAAGGTTTCAAACTCGAGGTTTTAAAATTCCTCCTTCGTTTCTTTTTCTTTCTTTCTTTTCTTTTTTTTTTTGTTCCAGGTTTTTATTTAAATTCCAGGTGGTTAACATACAGTGTAATATTGGTTTCAGGAGTAGAATGTAGTGATTCATCACTTCCGTACAACACTCAGTGCTCATCACAAGTGTCCTCCTTAATACCCATCACCTATCTATCCCATCCCAGCTTCACCTTATGAGATTTATGCCAAGACCTGCTAATCTGACAATATAATAAAGTAGTGGTTTCTTCTGTGTGTTCGGCCGAACTCTCAAACCCTCCAGAAGGAATTGGAATTTATTTTTCTCAGATTTATTTTTTCTGAAAGGTGAAAGTGGCTGTGTAGATTTGCCAGGTAAAAAGGAGAAATTAATTGGTAATTATGAAATTTTCCAATAAAAAAACTCAGGCCAGGAGAGGTGGTATAATTAGAGGAAACGTGGAGTCGTGGAGTTTAACATAGATGTTTGCTTCTACGCTTATCTGTGTTTATACATACATCATAATTCCTGCGGGTAATGTAGAGTTTTTGAAAGAGCCAGTGCATCAGCTCTCATTTATCCAAAGATCAGACTTCTAGTGATCTCAGCTCACTGACTCCAGCTGAGAACCTATAAGTAAAGATTCAGGGCCACTGACTGGCCAGTGGGTGTCCGCAGCACGTTCCTCCATGGGCACGGTGGCACCGTCCTTAGGCCCCCAACCAGCGATGACTCGGAAAGTGAGGATAACAGTAGTCAAGCCTCACATTCTGGGAACATTTGGAGACCAGCAGGGGCGTGACTCCTTTCACCACTCCCTGGGTCATGAACCTTGCACCCTCATGGTGACCCGAATGGCCAGGACGAGGTTAAAACATAACTTGTTTGTTTTTAGGAAATCAGGAGGTTTATCTATGAACCAGGAGGAAGTTTTAAAACCCAGTTTTGAATGCTTTACACATCTGAGTAGTATCTTTGTGGTTTCCTTTTGTTCTTAAGGGGGTGACACTATAGGTAAGAGAAATTACTGTGGGCGGGCAGCTCCTTCAGGGATGCTCCCTTGAGTAGTGGTGGCAAGACAGAATGAGCAGAGACCCCAGGACCAGCCCACTGCCCTCACCTTACAGAGGCCGGTGGCCTTCTACAGTTGACTTTATTCTGACTTGTTCCATTTTACTCTTACCTGTTTTCAACTTTGAGTGAACAGTCTTTAAATACTAAGGAAATGTGTAAGCAGTTGCCGGTTCTCGTTGACTGGTCATTTTGATCACAAATTAGAACTAGTTCGCAAAGCATTATCCCATAGCGGCAGATTCATTTTGCCTGCCGCTCTGCCATCACTGATGTAGAGAGAGACGGTGAATTTTCAGCAACTTCTCGTTGGGCTGAGCCAGGGGTTGGCCAATCCAGAAATGCTCTATCCAAAGCAAACCTTACAGTTGTGATGCTCGAGGTGAAATCTCTGACAAAAACATGAACTGAGTTTAAACCAGCATTCTCTTGTCTACAAGCTACATAGTTTTAGAGATCTCTCTTTAGATGGTGTTTTCAACAAAATAAGTGCCTTTTGATTGGACATTTTGTGATTATAGACCATAAATAGGAAGCAGTCATATCATTGGACCACGTTAAGTTGTTTTTCTTTTTTTAAATTAAATTAATTTAAAAATTATAAGTTTATTTTTTAAAATCCAGTATAGTTGACATACAGCGTTATATTAGTTTCAGGTGTACAATATAGTGATTCAACAATTGTGTGCATTACTCGGTGCTCATCATGGTAAGCGTGCTGTCAGTCCCCTTCACCTATTTCCCCTATCCCCCCACCTGCTTCCCCTCTGGTGACCAGTAATTTGTTCTCTATATTCAAGAGTCTGTTTTTTTTGTTTGTTTGTCTCTGTATTTGTTCATTTGTTTTGTTTCTTAAATTCCACATATGAGTGAAATCATACGGTATTTGTCTTTCTTTGACTTATTTCACTTAGCATCGTACCATTCTAGATCCATCCATTTGTTGCAAATGGCAAGCTTTCATTCTTTTTTATGGCTGAGTAATATTCCACTGTGTATATGTGTCTACACCACATCTTCTTTATCCATTCATCTATCAGTGGACACTGAGGCTGCTTCCATGATTTGGCTATTGTAAATAATGCTGCAATAAACATAGAGGTACGTATATTTTTTCAAATTAGTGTTTTCATGTTCTTTGGGTAGATACCCAGTAGTGGAGTGACTGGATCATATGGTAATTCTACTTTTAATTTTTGGGGGAACCTCCGTGCTTTTCCACATTGGCTGCACCGAATTCACATTCCCACCAGTAGTGCATGAGGGTTCCTTTTTCTCCACATCGTCACCGACACTCGTTTCTTGTGTTTTGATTTTAGCCATTCTGACAGGTGTGAGGTGGTATCTCATTGTAGTTCTGATTTGCATTTCCCTGATGATGAATGATGTTAAACATCTTTTCATGTGTTGGTTGGCCATCTGCATGTCTCTTTGGAGAAATGTCTCTTCATGTCTTCCGCCCATTTTTAATTGGATTATTTGTTGTTTTTGGTGTAGGGTTGTGTAAGTTCTTTACATATTTTGGATACTAATCCCTTATAGCATATCATTTGCAGAGATCTTTTCCCATTTAGTAGGTCGATGTTTTTCTTTTTATTTTGAATAAACACTGGTCTCTCTTTGCAGGTGATAGCAGCTGCAAAAGCAGGATTCACAGCCGTTGGTTATGAATTAAACCCCTGGCTAGTTTGGTACTCCAGATACCGTGCTTGGCGAGAGGGAGTGCACGGCTCTGCCAAATTTTATATTTCAGATTTGTGGAAGGTATGTAAGGCAGAGAATGTTCCTAGGAAATGCCAACCAAAACTTTGTAATTTGTAATTAGTATAATTAAAAGCTGAAGAATGTATTAAAAGAAAAACAGTTAAAATACAAGTGTATATTTCAGCATAATGAAATGTGAACACCTTTTAAATTGATAGATTTACAAATCAACTCTTAGAGTAGAAGCTTAAGGTTTCTAGACCTGATAGGTTATGTGAATTCCAAGAATTTGCTCATTTAAGAAAGTTCTCATTTCTCTTTGTTACAAAATGATGAGGGTTTTTTTTTTTATCTCATTTGGAAATCTTATAAATTATAATATAGACATTAACTTGTTAATGTCATTCTTGGTAAATGGTAGACTTTTCTCTGTGTGGCTGCGTGTGTACGTGTGAGTCTACAGAGAGAGATGAGTACAAAAGACAGAATCCACTGACTATGTTGTCACGGTTCTTTCTGGTCTTCATAATGTAAAGATAACTTCCAAGTTTATTTGTACTCTAAAAAAAAGTCCTGTAATTTTGCTTTAGGAATGCACCATAAAATGCTTTTTCTTAAATAAGAATTTCCCATTGTAATGTTGTCATCAGTAGCTTATAAAAATTCACTTGAGTTTTGCTTGCATTGTTTTTTATACCACATATACATAAACGATCTTTCTATAGAGTAAATAAGACTTTTATTGAGCAATAAGAATTTTGACTGGCAAAGCACTTTTCCCCCCAGTTTTTCAACTAAAGATCATTTTATTCCGTTTTTTACTTAGTATTTTAGAGAAGAGGAGGGGGACTAGAATTTTAAGGATGGCTCAACATAAAAGACAGGTGCTTGTCCGATGTCACACGTTCTTGCTGAGTTAGTTTGGCATATGGTGGAGAAGAGTAGAGAGTGTGGATCAGGGCACAGATGGCCCAGAGCACCCGGCGCAGCCACCAGCTGGTCACTGGATGAGTCACTGGCGTTTCCGACAGATGACCCCTGGGTGGGCCCTTCCGGGAGCATCCGTGCGGGTGACAGGAGTGACTTAGGGGAGGTGTTTGGACAACTGCAGTGGATTGAATTAACAGAAGCATAAACATGGCTTCTTCTCGTGAGGTCTTAAAGGTCTTTGTTGAAAACCTACTATTTGACGAAATGGGACATTGCTGCACCCTTTGAAACAAAAGTTAAGCTTGATGTTTGGCCTTTTAAAACTAATCTGTGCATCGTTCCCCCTCTCCTCTAGGTAACTTTTTCGCAGTACTCAAACGTCATTATTTTCGGCGTGCCTCAGATGGTGAGTTCGCGTCCTCCTCCCCCTCGTTGGTTGGCTTTAGGTCTTGTGTAGACCCTCCAGCTGTAACAGGCCACGTCCGTGTGGCCACCTGCCCGTGTGCCCAACAGCAGCGCCCCCAGAGATTTGGGGATGGGGGACATTGGATTTCACTGCACTGGCTTGACACACTACCTTGGGGCCTTAAAAGTTTAATCATAAAAGATTCAGTCATGTCGTTAAAACTTTCGCTGCAGATAAAATTCTCAATGATCTACCTAAGCCCTAAAAACTCCAATCTGGAAACTACTTTATGAGCTCCCGGTGTCTAATGTAGTTGGAGAGTTTTGCGGTTGTTCACTTAACAGCCAGCTGAAGTCACTTGGGAGAGGTAATGGTATGTTCCCTTCGAATTGATCGTTCCTCCGGTTTTGCAGTAAGGCGATTTTCAGGGCGGGCGAGTGTCGACTAGTTGCAGTTGACCTCAGCTGACTGATTTGTATCGAACTTAGATTACATACTTTAAAAAGTGAAAACACCGTGGCATCATGCTGTAAATGGTTCCAAATTTAGCCTTTGGAAAGATGACGAGGATGGGATGCTTTTATTGTAATTGTTGGTTTACAGACCATAGAGAGAAATCCGTTTTGACTTTTCAAGCTCTGTAATTGTAGCTGTAATAATTGTGGCAAAATTGGATGTTTCCTGAAATGCTGCTATATAACTGATATGTATGGTTTATAATATAAAAAAAGGGAAATTTACTTTTTTGTTGTTTTGTTTTCTTAGTCACACCTTTTTGTGTAAGACGGCTCAGTGCTTGAGAAATTTATTCTTACTACGAGGAACTTCAGTACAATGGCACTTTTTATTTTTTTTGTCGATTTAGAAGTGCTGTTGTTACATATTCTCGAAAGTAGCAGGATTCTGTATGTTTGGAATTTTCAGTAAGCCTAAAATTAAGATGAAACGTGGGTGTTCACCCTTTTGCTATAGAAACGAAAAGGGGCGTGATCCCTAGTCATTGACAACAAACTGTTTGGGATCCTAGCACTGCTATGGACTTCGACCGTTGTCCGCTCCTCATGATGTTTGGGCAGCATTTTCAAGGAAATAGATTTGATTTGAATTCCATGCTTTATAAAAAGGGAAAGTTGATGTTTATTGCGATTTCCATGCCATCCTGAGAGGCTGGCCGGTGGTGGCCTGAGGTGTGGGCTTACGAGGTCACAGCAGCTCCGTCCCGGGGGTGGGGGCAGGGGCAGCAGTGACCCGTGGGCTCCAGCTCCTTGTGCATCTTACCATGTTTGAGCATCTTCAGTTTTTGGAGCTGTTCACTCGGGAAATAAGAGTCCTGTTTTTTTGATGAATGCTTTTGCAATTATTGTCCATTTTCCTGTATGCAGAGAAACTTTAAGAACTTGTGGCATCTCACTGTTCCCAAGAGAAAGGGGAGCGGCTGAAAACACGAAGCAGCCACATTCTGTGGGATGAGAGGGATTCAGCCAGCGGGCAGTTTTCCACGCAGGGGGCTAGTTCACGGGACCCCCGGGGCTCGTTCGTGGGTGCAAGGCCCCGCTTTTGACCCTCACCGAGCCTTGCCTATGTGGAGGCGGTGAAGGGGAGGGAAAGTGCTGCCTGGGGGGTCAGGGGGCCAGCTCTGCTCTCCGGAGTCCTGGGAGCCCTGATGGGGCCGTCTTCCAGTGAAACGCACTTGCCTTGTCTGAGCACTGGTCGGCGTGGCAACGTGGCTCCGCAAAGCCCGTGTAGCACCACGTTTCCTGTGGCAGGTGAGCCACATAGAGGCCATGCGGGAGCCAGGAGAAGGCAACTGGAGAGGGAGGAGCCTGGTGTTGTAAATCATCCACCTGCTCCCGATAGCACACCGATGGTTCCTAACAGCTCTTTGCTTTTGTGTATCTAACCCACCAGGGGTGAGGAATCTCATCTGGATCTGGTAAATCCAGCGCCAGCATGGTAAATACCCACATTTAACTCTAGCACATGCTCCTCTTTTCAAAATGTGAAACAGATCAGTCGTGTCCTTGTGTAAAACCCACATGGGACGTCTTGCTGCTTTAAAGCAGTGAAGATAAGGCACGACCTCTCCACCGGGCCCAAGGCCTGGCGTGGAGTGGCCCCTGCCTCCCTCAGCTCTCTGTGTGTCAGCGCTCTGTCCTTCTCTCGGCCCCTGGATCCACAGTGTGAGCTGTGTTCTTCCCTCTGGCTTCAGTCCCCCCAGCTCTGGGCCTAGTTGGTGAACACCTCCTGACCACTCACAGGTCTGGTGTCCTCTCCTCCAGGAAGTCGTCCCTGATTGCTCGGTGAGACAAACCCCAGTGCTCCCGTTTTCTATCCACCGGTGCCTGTTCCTTCTCCGGAGTGAGTCATCGCACATTTCCTTACGTGGTGGCCTCGGCAGGTTTGCTGTGTGCACTGTAATGTATGTTCAAGAGTGAGCTTTCCGTCAGCTCGGCAGCACCAGCACAAAGTAATGACTCCGGAAATACTTGTGAAATGAATGAAACGTACCCAGTAAGGACACTTCCTGGTGGGCTATTCAATTTTGTAACTTCAAGGATTAATTTTAGTTATGAGTCATGTTGTGAATTGATGAACATAAGTATGACCATCATTCTGATAAAGATAAATGATTCATGATGGGATCATGTGTCCTTCGCTTCTTCATTCGACAGGTATTTAGTTGGTGCCACAAAGGGCAAGACTGCGTCCTCATCACTTGGGATACTTTAGTGAATGGAAAAGAGGAACACCCCTGCCCCGAGGTGCCTACATGCTAGTGGGGAGAGCAGATTTTTTTTTTTTTTTTTAAGATTTTATTTATTTATTTGAGAGAGAGAGAGAGAGAGAGAGCACATGAGACAGGGGGAGGGTCAGAGGCAGAAGCAGGCTCCCTGCCGAGCAGGGAGCCTGATGTGGGTCTGGATCCCGAGACTCTAGGATCATGACCTGAGCCGAAGGCAGTCGCTTAACCGACTGAGCCACCCAGGCGCCCGGGGAGAGCAGATCTTAAATGACGTCCCTATATAAAGGGCTCCAGGCTGGCTCAGTCAGCAGAGCATGCGACTCTTGATCTCAGGGTTGTAAGTTCAAGCTCTACATTGGGCATAAAGCTTATTTAAAAAAAAAAAAATCCTAAAAAAATGTTGTCCAACAGGAGGGGTAAGTGCTGTGGGGCGGAGTAAAGCAGGAGAAGGAGGGGCAGAGACAGTGTCCCTGGGAAGGGGACGTGTGGAGGTATGGGGAATGTGCCGGGCAGAGCCATCGCAGAGGCCCCCAGGGATCTGTGCCTCTTAGGTTCCAGCAGCAGCAGGGAGAGGTGACGTCAGAGGGGAGCTAGGGGCCAGGCGTGAAGGATGCCGTGCTGTTGGAATGCAGGAGCCCTGGCGGGTTTGAGCAGAGGAGGGAGGGACCTGCCTGGGTTGTGAAGGACCCCGGGCTGCTGTGTGGAGACCGAGTGTGGGTAGAAGCCGGGAGACAGGTTAGGAGCTCCTGCAGGCAGCTGGTGTGATAGGGTTGTGCCAGTGTGCAGAAGCTGATTGGAAGCGGTCAAGTTCTGCATGCGTCGAGAAGATGCAACCAACAGGATGCGTTGGCATAGCCAGTGTGGGGCGGGCAAGAAAGAGGAACCATTCCTCAAGGATTTTGGTGAGAGCAACTGGAAGTTCGCAGTTGTTGTTACTGAGCTGGGAAAGGTGCGGACAGAGGAGCTGGAGGAGGAGGATCAGGAAGCCTGAGATGTATGTGGAGGTGTGAGGTTGGCAGTGGTGGGTAGAGGGCGTCTGGGGCTCAGGAAGGAGAGGGGCCTGGAGATTGGGCATCAGCTCCCAGAAGGAGTTTAAGCCCAGGAGTGGCTGAGGTTCCCCGGGGAGGGGGCAGAGCTGGTCAAGGCCTGCACTTTGGCCTCTGACAAATGAGGGGCACCCAGCAAAGGACTCGAGAGGAGGAGTTGGGTAGGAGGAATGCCCAGCGGGGGGTGGGGGTTACCCTAGAAGCCAAGTGAAGCCAGTGTTTTGGGGGGAGGGAGCCATCACATGGATCAAGAGCTGCTCATGGGCATGGCTGTTTGGTCTTACATCTTTGAGCTGGTTTCAACTTATGTTTAAAGTTTTGAAGATGTAATTAGAATATGATGAGTTCGTGTCACTTTGAAACCTCTAATTATGTGAATAATTTTGAATTCCATTAGACAGACATGACACATCACTGCCTCTCTGTGCGTGATATCAAGACTCACGTTCATTGCATATTTATGTGTGATTGACTCAGTTAATTTCTTACTATTGAAATAGCTCCTTTCATTTGTGGGTTTATCTTGACTTAGCATATGACAGTCATTGGGAAATAAAAGAAACCGTAAAAGAGAACAGAATAATGATAACATGAATGCGTTTACAATGATCCTTTTGATGAACAAAATTACTGTAAGAAACCTCTGGTATTTTGGAAAAACACATATTGTCTCATTCTTTGCTTATTTAATTTTTCCTTTGAGGAACAAAACTTTTTTTTTTTTGAAGAAATCTTTTATTGGCTGTTAAAAGAGTAGAAATATCCCATCCTTAATGGAATTTATTCTTGGTTATCTTGGTATTAATTGTCATGAAGAATCAAGAGTTTTCATTCACTCTAGCCAGAGGTCACACGGAGGACTTTCACCAGCCACTTTTTAAAGATACAGGTTGGGAATAAAGTCTTCATAGAAGGACTATTGATTTGTTTGTCTTGATTTATTTGGTTAGTTTTAAAGGGATTAGTTTTTGCTCAGATCTTGGTTTCAAGATATCATTTCCCATTTAGAGGAGCCAGGAATGTGTGAGAGGTGTCTGATCTGAGGGCTGAGGAGGGGGATCGATAGAAAAGCCTGGGGCATTTTGTGGAGCACAAATATGAGGAAGTGTTCAGAATATTTGTTGAGGGCGCATCCAATGGAGAGAGAGAGGCCCACTTGAGGAGGCTCCCCAGGGCCACACTGGGATGGTCTGAGCACCAGAAGAAACAAGGATGATGGTGGATTAGAACCCATTGAACAGAATAGGAATCTAGGAGCTCATACTTACAGTGACAGGTACACAGGTAGAAAGAAGGGAGAGCTCTTCCTTGCCCTAGAATGCCCACTGTCAGTTTAGAAGGAATGACAGAATTAGCAAATTTCCACTTTGCAGTCGTACCGTGAAAAATAACTCGGGCCAGAATCATCAAGAATGCTACATCTAGGGCACCTCGGTGGCTTAGTTGGTTAAGCGTCTGCCTTCAACTCAGGTCATGATCCCAGGGTCCTGGGATCGAGCCCCGCATCGGGCTCCCTGCTCGGCGGGAAGCCTGCTTCTCCCTCTCCCACTCCCCCTGCTTGTGTTCCCTCTCTCGCAGTCTCTCTCTCTGTCAAATGAAAAAAAAAAAAAAGCTACATCTAGTGAGGGACAGTTCGTTGAGCAGCAGGATATTTACATCATCTCAAGCTACCTCCGACAAATTATTCATTATAAGGGGAAATTAGTAACTCCACTGTGGAGGCAGCAGATATCACCCTAGCCGGGTGGTGACCATCACTCTCAAAGCAGAAGGTCCCCGTGGGCACCCGACAGTGGGGCCCTGAGAAGCTCACAGCCCCACTTGTGGGGCATTGCCCAAGATGCACGTGCCGAGTTCTCATGAGCAGACGTGAGGAGAATCCAAGTTGAGGACCACTGGTGAATAACTGGCCCGTCTTCCTAAAGATGGTGTCAGCAGAGACAAAGGAAGATGGAGGAACCGTTCCAGATGAAAGTAGACTAAGGAAACATGATAGCTAAATGCAGCATGACCTCATGAGGAAAGTGTCACAAAGGACGTTATTGGGACATTGGGCGCAATTGGAAGGCTATGGGCATTATTATTGGAATACAATCTTAAATTTCCTGAATTTGATGACTGAGCTGGGGCTGTGTCTTAGTATCAAGGAATAAAGGAGTGTATATTCTCAAATGGTTTAGGAAAAATATTCATAGAGGAAGAGGGCAAATCAGATAAAGCAAATACGATCAACAATTAAAAATTGGTGAACCCGGGTGAAGGAAGACAGGAATCCCTTGTTCTATTCTTGTGACTTTTCTATAACTTTGAAATTCTTTGAAAAAAACAAATTAAGAAGTGGAAAAAATAGTTTTAGGAGGTAAAGATGGTAGGATCGGAAGATCAGTTTTTAAGCTGTTGTTAATTTGCTGATATAATACTTGTAGCAGGTAGATTGGTAATAAAAGGATACAAAAGTGATCAATAAGAGGATTTTACTTTGTATAAGTTCTGTTGACTATGAAGAAGTTGTCCGTGCATTATAAATTTTGAAGAATTATGAAATATTTCATTATATTTCAAGTTAGTAGAATGAGTATAGTTTTTCATGGTCTAATTTAGTAGTACCATATTTCACCGAATCTAGATGCTACTAGTTTTAGGATGTACCATGGCTACTGAGAAAAAAATATGGCCAACTATAATTCTAAGACTGTGTCAACTGTAAGATGTATCCTGATTTCTGAGATGTTAAAACGTGGGAAAGTGTGTTAAATAGTTGAGACGAGGTAGATTAAAATGTTAGGTGGGCAGATAATTTAAAGCTGCTTCTCATTTTATTTGTTTCTTTTTAAATAAGAGTATTTTATTTTATTTTTTGCGGGGGAGGGGCAAAGGGAGAGAGAGAGAATCTGAAGCAGACTCCCCGCTGAGGGTGGGGCTCAGTCTTATGACCCTGGGATTGTGACCTGAGCCAAAATCAAGAGTTGGACACTGGGTGCCTGGGTGGCTCAGGCAGTTGAGTGTCTGCTTTTGGCTCGAGTCGTGATCCCGGGGTCCTGGGATCGAGTCCTGTGTTGGGTTCCCTGCTCAGTGGGGAGCCTGCTTCTCCTCCTCCTCCCCGCTTGTGCTCTATCTCACTATTGTTGCTATCTCCGTCTCTCTCTCTCTCTCAAATAAATAAAACCTTTAAAAAAAAATTTGGACACTTGACTGAGCCACGCAGATGCCCCTGTTGTTAATGTCACTTCCGTGTTTTAATGGATCATTTGATAACGTATTTATGCCCCAAAGGGATGTTATTTACAGTTACTGATTTTTTTTTTTTTTAAAGATTTTATTTATTTGAAAGAGAGAGACTGAGAGAAAGAGAGGGCATGAGCGGGGGCAGAGGCAGAGGGTAAGGGAGAAGCAGACTCCCCGCTGAGCAGGGAGCCCGATGCAGGACTCAATCCCAGGACCCCGAGATCGTGACCTGAGCCTAAGGCAGACTCTTCACTGCCTGAGCCACCCAGGCGTCCCTATGGTTCCAAATTTTTGCACAGGTATTTTCAGGCACTCAGCTCCAAAAGAACGTTTGGGCATCTTTTCCTCCGACTCGCTGCTTACTGAAATAATGGCTGTTGTTCCGCACAGATGCTGCAGTTGGAGGAGAAACTCACGCTCGAACTGAAGGATGACGCCAGAGTCATTGCCTGTCGGTTCCCTTTCCCTCGCTGGACCCCAGACCACGTCACTGGGGAGGGGGTGGACACTGTGTGGACCTACGACGTGAGCACTGTGAGAGGCAAGGGGCCCCGAAGACCCGTGTGCTTCCAGCCGAGCATTCAAATGTAGACTTTATTGAGCGCGGTTTCCCAGGTGTTGGTGGGCTTTGATTTTACAGAGACTTCAGCTGTGTCTTCAGCAAAGAGTGTATTTTTCTTCGGTATGGAATGAAAAAGTACTATTACTTTCCTTAACTTCTGGGAAACAAACGGAAGTCAAGAACAGCAGGTAGATTTAAAGTCCCTTTTCATGCTGTATTCAAAAAAGTGGTCTTACTGTCCTTCCATGCGCTCAGAGGTATGAAAATATGAATGAGTGATAGTCGTTTTGATGTGCAGGAACATGTGAACAGCTCCTGACATTATAAAAAATATGATTTAATGCCAGAGATGGAAAAAAACACACTTTTTAAAGAGGGTATGTCTTAACAGATACTTGTAGTTTGCTCTAACTTCATTCATACTTAAGATTTATGGATTTTTGTCTTTCTTTTCTGTACTTGATGGTAAAACTAATTTTCTGAAGGATGTGGGCCCTCATATTTTATAACATTTGTTAGGAATCATTTGTTCCAAGGCTAGTGGATTACTGTATTTTATTGAATCTGAGATATGTATGTGTGTGTAAATGTGTGTGCATAGACGCACGTTTGAACATTTCTGAAATGGTGATGAACCTTCCAGTCAGTGGTGTTTTGTGTCTGTGATCAGTGGTGTTTTGTGTTGTACGTCATGATATCGTTGCACATCAGCCAGCATTGATGGGATCTCAGGTTTGAGGAAATGTGCTCAGGGAAGCTGCACGATAGAGGAGTAGTTGGTAGTAACAATAGTAAAATAAGCCGTCCTGCGCTTGGGATTCAGCCAGCCCTGACGGCAGATCCCTGCCTGGCCCCAGCAGGAGGCCCGGGACCAGGGGCTTGCCCCCCGTGGAGCCTTGCTTTCCCAGCTACCCCGAGGACCCGTTGGGATAATGATACACTGAACAGGGGACTTTTTTGGGTAAACTCACGACACAGAGTCTTCGGTCTGTGAGTGTATTTATTATTTTAGATACTAAAGAAAGTTACGGATTATTTCTGCTAGTCGCTTCTTGACTTTATGAAAGCTGCCATTTATGTAATATTTCTCATTTACGAGAGGAGACTTGACTGATTTAGATAAAGACAAGGAAAACCTTTGAATGTGAGTAGACAAGCTTCATGTATCTGAAAATTAGTATTAAATGGTGCCTCGAATAATCCCTATGCATCATAGGAAAGAAGCGAGCTCCCAAACATACACACCTGTAACCTAAATACCAAACCGTCCTCACAGAGGTTTAATAAGATGAGATGGTTTGCATTTTTAACTGAAATCCTAAAACTATGATCAGCTTAATTGTCATTTAAATGAGCAGCAACTTGGAGACTCATTCATTCCTTCAGCAGATATTTACCGAGTATCTACTGTGTAATAAGCTTTTCCGACTCAATGGTGAATAGACCTGCAAGGCCTCTAATCTTATGGCATGTATATTCTAGAAGAACGAGACAGACAAATACGAGAGTGAATGTTAGTGTGTGTGATGTTCTCTGAAAGAAGTCAACAATGTGACAGTCTTGGGCATTTGTCAGGTGTTTGGCTGCTACTGTCCATCCCTTCCCAGTGGCCCCCGGTTTCTTAGGAATGAATTCTCTCCGATGTGTGTAGTTTGCTGCCTGCCCCTCCATCACTCCCGCCAGCCCTGTAACTCGGACAGGGACCCATCATACCTTCCTGCCGGGCAGGTGTGATGGTAGGGGCAGGGTTTTGTGTTCAGTAAGGATGCATTCAGTAAGTTTCTAGACGCTCCTGGCGGACTTCCGGAGGCATCAGGCTATCTGGAAAGGCATATGTAACTTGCTGTTGTTGGGTTTCTCCTTCAGCTTCCCAAGAATTAGATGATGCCTGGTCCTGCAACCTCAGAATAAAATAGACCATTTCACAGAGGTGTTGAGATTCATGGAGTCTGTCAGATCTTTAATTGGTTTTTTCAGTTGTGCTTTCAAGTATCCCGTAAGTGACCTGTGAGAATATTCTCCTAGAGGTTATCGTGGCTTCTCTGACTGGCTGGTTTCAATGATCAGTTACTGGATTGAGGATATTGATTAAGTTTGTACACGACACAAGGCAAGGAGTGAGAGCTACTACTTTTGATGTCAAAAGTAGGATTCAAAAGTGTCTGCCGGATTGAAATCAGGGATAAGTGCTAACTTGATAAAATTTAAAGTTCAAACAAACAAACAAATAAGAATAGAAATAGAGCTTAGTGGTGACATAGCCGAACAGGAGCTGTTGTGACCAGACCTGGAGGTTCCGTCGACATTCGGCTCAATGACCAGTACATTCCCATCTGCATGCATCTCTCTCTAAGAGGTTGGCCCCAGGGTTGCAACCCCTGCCCTCCCCCGGTGTCCCAGGGGGGCGTCGTCGGACCCTCTGCCGATCCTGGCATTTAGACTCCCTGAAATGCTTAGCTCCACCAAGAGGCTGTGAAACCAAGTTTAAAAGATTTAAGAATGGAGACTCTTTCAGACACACCGTGTTCACCATTGCTGAGAGATGGGGTACACGGTGACAAGCCACAGCCAAACAGAACAGAAAAAAATGCAGGATTCCTGACGTTTCCACCTCGCGGCTGGATACTAGGCCTCTGAAGTTTGCAGGGCCATCTGCTGGGAGCTTTGGGAAAGGTTTTGTTGTGAACAGAAGGAGGTGCTTGAGGAGGGAGCATCCTTCCTGTCTTTGGATGACAGGCTATATAAAGCACCACCAGGGGCAAAGTGAAGATGTGGAGCAGAAAGATGGACAGAGTCCAGGTGTTTGACAAGACCACGGAGTTGCTGAACTGACCCAGAGCCTCCAACTTCAGGACATCTTACATGAGGTGACAAACCCACCTTGTTGCTCTCCCACGGGTGTGGGATGTGCCCTGTGGTGGCCTGGCTGAGGCAGGAGGGTGTGAGGCTCAAATGGGGGGAGGGAGCCTGGCAGTATGGAATGCAGGCGCCCCTGAGCCCGTGCCCCCTGTCTGGAAGGCGCTGCAGGACAAGGCACTCGCTGGCAAGGTCAGAAGCACGTCTGGAGTATTCAAGAGGGACGGAGAGCTCCCACGGGCGGGGGCCCCACTCCCTCCCAGAGTGGCGTTTGGGCAGTTGTACCAACAAGTCAAGAGGGCTCTGAATGTGGACCCAGCCTTCACCAGCGGCAGGAGTCCTCCCAGGTGGGCGTCCTGTTCTTGGGGACATGGGCAGAGCCAAGTAACAGCGGAGCCTCAGCCACATCCCTGCACCCAGGGAGTTTTGTCGGGGGAAAGATGATTCTTCCCAGGATTAGAAAGGAATTCATAAAAGGAAGGGAAGAAAACACTCAGACTGCTCTCTTGGCAGATGGGGCTGCCAAGGGGAGAAGCCATGACGTGGACTGCGCGTTTGTGTCCTTAGGTTGAAATCCTGACCCTCTGTGTGCTCATACGAGGAGGCTGGGCCTTGGAGAGGTGCTTAGGTCCTGAGGCTGGAACCCTCCTGCAGGGGATTAGTGCCCTTACAAGGCGACCTCCGAGAGCCCCGTCCTCCACATGTGAGTGGGAGGACAGCCAGCTGTGGCCCAGGAGGGGGCTTCTCACCGGACACCCAGTGTGTTGTAGCTGGGATCTGAGGCTTCTTAGCTCCATAGCTGAGAGGAACAGATGCTTGTCGTGTGGGCCCCTGGGCTGTGGTGTTCGGTGACCGCAGTCCGAGCTGGTAACCTAATCGGTCCGCACCCAGCGCTATCCAGACTTGTCCCTGCTGTAGTCATCATTTCCCGGGCCCGCATGAGGCACGGAAGTTGCAGGGAGCCAAGCTTCCAGAGGATTCTCCCCAGTGCCAGCTGGGGAGAGCGGGAAACCATCTCCCTGACGTAAAAGTCAGGGCTGGGTGGCTGGGTGGGCTCCCGAAGTTCCCCTGGACCCCCCGTCTGCTTGACCGTCGGGGCCTGTGGTTGGCACCGTCACAGGGGAGGCTTCTTTGGGGGGGATCTCTTCTGTGCCTCCCGGCTCACACGGAGGATGCTTTCAGCACAGTGTGTCTCTAAACCAACACGGGTGGTACAAAAACAGAGCTAGAGGGACAGGAGCTGCTGCATTGACAAGCAGACGTGAATTCTAGATGGTAAAGGGTCTCGAGAGCCTGTCCTACGAGGCACAGTTGTTTCCCCAGGATGAGAGGAGACGTAGAGGAAACAGGACAGGCGTTTCCCAACGTTTGAAGGCTTGCCAAGCAGAAGAAGAGAGGGAAAGTGATAATGAGCATGATGACTGTGACCCAGGAGTTTCCATGCACAGAAAAACCCCGTTCTCATCTTCAGGGAGGAGGCACTGTCTACTGACTGTTTTCATTCTTAACCACAGGGAGATGGGGTCGACTCGCTCGGTCCCGACCAGACCCAGGAGCACGGAGTCTTACTACGCTCGGTTGCTTACCTGCAATTAGACCTGTTCTAACCGGCTCAGAGGCGTAAACTTGGCTCTTGGTGTTGGTGCCAAAGCTCAGTCTGAAGTAGGGTTTTAATAAAGCCGTTTGAAGTTAGAATGCGTTGCCTCTGGACTTAGGGACTTTGTTGTCACTGGAGATGCCACTGCAGAGGGCCGGACAGCCACATGGTGGAGATGTTGTGCAGGGATCCATCCACGAGCAGGTGTGGCGTCTTAACATGACCTGGAATGAGCACGAGTTTTGCAGCCTTAGCGGGACCGCCAGAACCCTGAGAGCAGAACCCAGTGGGTCTGGGAGGCATCAAAGCAGCTGTTAGCAGTGAGGGCATTTCATACAACTCCAGCGGTGCCTGGCCTCCCCCAACAGGAGGCCACGGGCAGCTTTTCACTCTGCTGTACAACCCAGGCATAGCTGACATCTTGAAATCTCAGGGAAGCTGATGGATGACAGTAGGCTTTATCAGAGCTCCAGCCGAGAAGTGGTAACGCTCCGAGGAGAGGGTTGGAGTCTGTTAAACCCCCCGAGGGCTTGGCTGCAGTTGTGTTGCCCAAGTTCTGATGAGAACCAGGAGACTGTTCTTGAATCCGCTGGGAGAAACACATCATGAATGGTGCCTCATCCCCTTCTAAGTGACACCGTCCCACCCATCACCTTTCAAGGGAGCAGCTTTATAAAGACGCAGGCTCTCTGACCCTTCTCCAGTTGATGGGGCCAGAGTCTGGCATCAGAGCCAAAGGCCGAAGAGATGAGATGAGTCCTGCAGATTCCATACATTGGGGAACCAAAAGATCGGGGACATCCAAGTGGAAGTTAAGGTCTTGAAGTTGAGGACAGAGGAGTTTGGAGACCTGGGAGAGGCGAGAGAGTAACAGGTTTCTCTCTGGGTGAAGGGCTCAGTCCCAGGGAGCAGACCACAGTCCTGCGGAGTAGGACTCTGCCATGGGCCTGCCCCCGCCCACCCCAGAGGGCCCAAGAACCGGCAGGAGCAGAGCCAGACTGTGGCCGGCGGAGCCCTCGCGGTCCCTAACATCGCAGCCCGCCTCAGAGGTTTCAGCTGAGTGTCGTGTTCCCTGAACAACTCCATTTATGAAATAGGTTATTTTATGACGAGTGTAAATCGCACTTGTCATGAAGGGTATTAAACACAAGGAGCTTATTATCCCCAAAAATGGGGCAGGCCATATATTTAAATAGAAAAATGGATATTTATATAAATAAGGAAATCTGCCATCTGAATAACACAATAAAGTTTCTGCACTCAAATAGAAAACTTTAGTCATCCGGGATCCTCTCAGGCAGAGTGAAGTGTTCCCGTAATAGTGACACATTATGCTTATATTGGAATTGGCACACTTGTGACCCAATGGACTGACACGAATTGAACATGAACAAAAAAATCATAAAACTTTTATAGGTGAGGGAAATAGGATCTTATTTTTTCTAATTTAATATTATGGTGAGAATATTACCTGAGAAGGACCGATAAAACAACAGCTCATCAATCACAAAGTTTAATGCAAGGATGGAAAGGAGGAATCAAGTAAATTTTCTTCTCTGGAACACTGTGGGGTGAAAAATGGGGCAACGGAATTACCCTTTATGAGAATGAATCCAAACGTCAGGAAAATCCACAAAACCCTGCGTGTGTCCCAAACTTGGTGGATACGCTCGAGGGGTGAGGTCTTGCGGGGTTTGCTGTGAAGATAGCTGGGCAGTGTTGTTCGTGGGGAACGTGATGGTGACAAGGCATTAGGCACGTGCTGGTGCACATGGCGAGCAGTCAGCATTTGGGAGGCAGCTGGAGTTCTCTTCTAGTGATCGTCCCTTCTTGCCCGCTGACATTGACCTGTCCCGGGTACCCGGGACACGTGGAAGAAAAGGCCAGGGGATGAAGGGATAAAGAAGGGACGATACATATTCCCATTTTCAAGGGCATTTGCGTTTTGTTAAGGAGAGCTATGGTATGAATTTGAACTTTCAGTGAGAGTAGAAGATGGATTTGTAATGGAGAAATGTCAGATTCCCTGTTTCCACCTGCCCTGGCCCCAGTCCAAACTACCCAACTGGCATATCCGAGACAGCTCAGAAAGGCAGACTGAGGTCTCCACAAGTTTCTCTTGACCTGAACATGTTAATTAGGAGTAGAAATTCATAGTCCAGACACTACGGTAACGAGGAATAGCTCTCAAGTGTTGACTGTCCTAGGTCTTTTAGATACATTATTTTAGATTCTCCTACTAACCGCAGGGTAGGTATGGTATTTCTCAGTGGGGGAACCTGAGGCATTTCGAGAGTAATTGCTTTGCTAAGGCCCGTGTACTTGTTAGCAAAGAGTGGAGCTGGTATTCGAACCCAGGCCTGTCTGACACACCTAACACCTGTGTGAGCCCCCTCGCACCACCCCCCCGTCACTGCCTAGCCAGAGCATGGGGAAGGGTCTGCTACTCCAAAATCCATACCGTCTACCCAGTAGCTTAGATGTTAGCAACATTGGAATAACTCTGAGGCTTGGGTCCCTGTCTCTTTGAATCAAAATAAATCTTTTTTTGGGAGGCATAGCGTGGTCCTTGAGTTAGAAGCATAAGCCTGAGAAAAGGATAAAGCAGCCAGTTTTTCAGAACTGTCCCCCACTCAGAAACAGGTAGAGGAAGTAATGTCTCCTAAGCAGAACTTTATCACCTGCTTTGTAGGCCCACCTCCCGAAGGTGGGTTATTGCAAACATGTTGTGGCCTGTCTGTGTTGGACAATAAGCAGCTTGTGCAAGTACCCACATCTCCATCATCCTCTGGGGCTGCCCTAACAAAGCAACTCTGTATGCCTCATAGTTTTGGAGACTGGAAGTTCAAGGTGTTGGCAGGATTGGTTTCTTTTTTATTTTTTTTTTAAAGATTCCATTTATTTATTTGACAGCGAGAGAGAGAACACAAGCAGGGGGAGCAGCAGAGGGAGAGGGAGAAGCAGGCTCCTTGCTGAGCAGGGAGCCCGGTGTGGGGCTCGATCCCAGGACCCCGGGATCATGACCTGAGCCGAAGGCAGACGCTTAACCGACGGAGCCACCCAGGTGCCCCATCAGGATTGGTTTCTCCCTAGCTTGCAGGTGGCCGCCCTCTCTGCTCGCTGTGTCCTCACCAGCTTCCCTGATGGCTCTTCCCCTTACAAGGACACCAGCCCTGTTGGATTAGGACCCACCCCAACAGCCTCATTTTAGCTTCATCCCCTCTTTAAAGGCCCTATTTCCAAATGCAGTCCCATTCTGAACACTGAGTAGAACTTTAATACATGAGTTTTGGGCGGGGTGTGGGGAACACAGATCAGTCCATAAGAACATCTTAACAAGGTGACGACAGCCTCGTTTTTGTAAGCACATAATTGGACACAGCCTAAGCGTGTGTGAGCTGAGACTGGTTGAGTGCACGTGGGTGTATCTGTACGGAGCAGCCTGAGGAAAGGCTGTGGCAGAGTGACATGTCCGGACGCCTGTGTGGTTTCCAGCCGAGGTTGGAATTCTGCAGGAATGCGCGTTGAACCCAGCCGGTCTTATGGAAAAAGCCGGGGTAATGGGAGACCACTCAGGATGGTTGCAACCTTGAGATCCGGGCATTAACAGCAACAGTCTTTGGTATCTGGGGAGAGAACTTGGCAGGCAGCTCAGTGTGCTGGAGGCTGCCTGTGGGGATAATAATTTAAAAAAAAACAGCGTGGGAATGCTGGTTTGCGGAAACAACACAGTGTGGATGAGCCCCGGAGGGCTTGTCCCCTGCCGCAAGCCCAGGACTGCAAGGCTGGGGTGCCCCTCTCCGGGGAGGGGCGAGCACTCGTACATTTTCTAAAAATCCAGCTGACAGGCTTCCGTGTTGAGGGTCACTTCTCTTCCTGCGGAAGTTTCCAGTTCTCATAATTCAAAGCTAAGCTCCCCTTGCGGAAAGAACCTCGTAGAAACCAGCAGAGCTTTCAGGTGGTCCTGACTTCATTCCCGATGCAGCCGTGGAATGGGAGTTACTTGGTGTTAATGGTACCAGGTGCTGTAGCAGAGCAGCGTGCTGTCAGGTGTAAACGAGGGGCAGGAGACTGAGATTTGCCACCATTTGTGTAAAAAGGGCATTCACATGCTTACACACGCGTGCTCCCCCCTTCCCCGACTCCCACACATCCCCTGCCGGAAATCATCTGTGAGTGTACGAGAAACTGGTAATAGCTTTTGCCTCTGGGGAGGGTGGGTGGGGCTTGGGATGTGAGGTGAGGGCAAGACCCCTTTGATTATAGATTTAAAAATTTTTTTTTTTTTTTTTTTTTTTTACCATATATAACTTTTAAATGAAACGATAATTCTTTAAAGTTCACATGTACGGGTAGAAGATTAGCTTTGGTTCACATATGAGATGCCACTTTAGAAAGCACATACAGGAGAGGACTGGTCAGTGATGACATGGGACTGAAATATGCTGAGCTGGTGTGACCATGCTGAGCCGGTGTGACCATGCTGAGGGGGTGTGATCATGCTGCTTTGTGGGTGTGACCATGCTGAGCGGGTGTGATTGTGCTGAGCTGGTGTGACCATGCTGAGCCGGTGTGACCATGCTGAGGGGGTGTGATCATGCTGCTTTGTGGGTGTGATTGTGCTGAGCTGGTGTGATCATGCTGAGCGGTTGTGACCATGCTGAGCCGGTGTGACCGTGCTGAGGGGGTGTGATCAGGCTGAGCGGGTGTGATTGTGCTGAGCTGGTGTGACCATGCACAGTGGTGAGTCAGACTCTGGGACACCTGAGTGCTATCATGTTTCAGGGCAAACCCACTGGTATTCAGGGCTAAGCTTTTGTGAAGGTGGGGAACTGAATTCCAGTGACTTGTGTTCCTGGTTAAATATTGTGTGTGTGTGTGTGTGTGTGTGTTTTTCCCCAAGTCTTTTCCCCTTTGTTCCCTGATACCCATCTTTATCATAAAGTTGGAAGAGAGAAGCACATGATTTGTGAGGTTTAGGTCAGCAGCTTGAAGGACCCCAGGGTTAGAAGGGACTGCAGCATAGGGGGTGGTCGAGGCAAGGCTGTGGGCTCGCATGGAGGGTGTGTGAGCAGCTCTGGGGGAGAGCCTCTTCCCCGGGACACCTTCCCCTCTGATCTTCTCTGGCTTCTGTTGGCCATGTCCACCTCGTGCCCCTGGTCTTCTCTCTCACGCTCTTTTTTGCCTTCTCTGGGAGTTTGGAGGTAACTTTTAGAACTGGTTGTGCCCAACACCAAATTGTGATAGCAAGTTAAAAGCCAAGATATGCTCTTTGCTTTTTGTATTGTGTAAAAAAGGACGTACTGGGTAGACTAGCAGGTGACATACACAAACAGCGCTGAATGGAACCTTCAGGTTATTGATTCTAAATAACCATCAACTGCTGCCTGAAACATTTCGTTTTTGGTATGGCCCCCCTGCCTGAGGCCTTTTGGGGACTGGCTGTTCACTCCTAACTCTTAAGGCAGCTCGTCTTACCTTAGGGCACCCTGTTAGAAATGCCTTTTGAATACCTGGCTAAAACCTGGCTCCCTGGCACTTCCCCCGTGGGCCCTTATTTTACCCTTCTGGGGACCACCCTGAACAATTCTAATGCTTCCTCCATGGGAAATCCCAAATCCAGACATTTGGAGGACTCTCTTCCTGTCCTCACTGAATCTTCCATTCTCATGTTTCTTCATATGAAGCAACCCTCCCTAGCCTCGTAACTCTCCTCTTAACACAAGCTAGGTTTTAAGTTATCTTTCTGAAGTGTGGGTTCCGGAGCCATATACAGAGCCAGGTGTGGCCCCACCAGTGCAGAGGGGAACAGACAGCCCCCTTCCTTGCTCTGTGGTTGTCTTCAGACTGACACCTGATACTCGACTCACGTGGAATTTTTACTTATGTTTCTGATAAGTCACCTGTCCTGTACTATATTGTTACATAGACCATGTCAGTGGAGTTTATTTTTTAATTTATTTTTATTTTTTTAAATATTTTTTTTTTATTTGAGAGAGAGATCGAGAGAGAGCATGAGTAGGGGGAGGAGCAGAGGGAGAGGGAGAAGCAGACCCCCTGCTGAGCAGGGAGCCCAGTGCGGGGCTCGATCCCGGTACTCTGGGACCATGACCTGAGCCGAAGGCAGACGTTCAACCGACTGAGCCACCCAGGTGCCCCTGGAGTTATTTTTTAAAAAGATTTATTTATTTGAGACAGAGAGAGAGGGCACGCGCATGAGCAGGAGGGGCAGAGGGAGAGGGAGAGAGAATCCCAAGCAGACTCCATGCTGAGCATGGAGTCCGGTGCAGGGCTCGATCCCATGACCCTGAGATCAATGTCCTGAGTGGATACCAAGAGTTGGATACCTGTCCCACTGCACCATCCAGGTGATCCTGGAGTTTTGTTTTGTTTTTTTGTTTGTTTGTTTGTTTTGACTCAAGGGCATGTTATGTTTTTGAAGCAAGTAAAAAATTTAAATACTTTCCTTTTCAAGTTTTGTTGTGTTAGATTTGCTCCATTGCTACAGGATTTTAAGGGATTTGGGATCCTAATTTAATCATCTAATTATTTGGTTGTCCCTGTGTATTTTATGCCACATACAACTTTAATAACCAGGAAATTAGTGTTCTTATCTACATTATTTGATAGAAAAGCCACAAATTTTGAAAGAGAGTCCTGGGACCTCCCTATCCTATAAACTATATCATTTGCTCTATGGGCCAGCGCTCCCAGGAGGTGATGGTTTATTCATTTGTGCTCTACTCACTGATGCTCTCGATCTGACATGCAAATGAGCATGTAGCCCGATGTCCCCTCCGCGTGGGCTTCATCACTGTGTGCCCGGGTCTTAGGCAGTCCATAAATATTTGTTGAGTAAGTGTGTGAGTGAAGGATGTTGGGGAAGAGTGGACACAGGTCTTACTGAAGGCCAGCTACATTGTTTTCCCTTTATTCCAACCTAGTCACGTTGGTGCACTGGTTAAAAAAAGAAAATCTTCGGGGGGCCTGGGTGGCTCAGTCGGTTAAGCATCTGCCTTCGGCTCAGGTCATGATCCCAGGGTCCTGGGATCGAGCCCCGCGTCGGGCTCCCTGCTCCACGGGAAGTCTGCTTCTTCCTCTCCCACTCCCCCTGCTTGTGTTCCCTCTCTTGCTGTGTCTCTCTCTGTCAAATAAATAAAATCTTAAAAAAAAAAAAAAAAAAAGAAAATCTCCGAATCCATTCCTGGCAATCCATACCGTCTCCTGAAGTCTCTACTTTTTTTTTTTTAGACTCATAGTTTATTACTTGCTTTCCCACATTTTTCTTTCTTCTTTCTTAAAAAAAAGCTTTTTTGCGGTATATCTGAAGTACCACCAAAAAAAACCAAACAAAACCAAAACCCCATAAAAAATCTGGGCATGTTTAGTGTATACAATATGATGAATTTGGACATATGCACAAACCCATGAAACCATCACCACAATCAAGGTAATAAGCATATCCATCACCTCCAAAAGGTTCCTCCTGCTCTTTTGTTTTTGTTTTTTAAGATTTTATTTATTTATTTGAGAGAGAGAATGAGAGAGAGAGAGAGAGAGAGCACATGAGAGGGGGGAGGGTCAAAGGGAGAACCAGGCCCCCCGCCGAGCAGGGAGCCCGATGCGGGACTCGATCCCAGGACTCCAGGACCATGACCTGAGCCGAAGGCAGTCGCTCAACCAACTGAGCCACCCAGGTGCCCCTGCTCTTTTGTTTTTTGATGTTGTTTTGTTTTGGTGTTAAGAACACAACGTGAGATCTACCCTCTTAAAAATTGTGAAGTATATAACTGATTTTTTTTTTTAAGATTTTTTTTATTTATTTGACAGAGAGCACGCGTGCACAGGAAGTAGGGGGCAGAGGGAGAAGCAGGCTCCCCACTGAGCAGGGATCCCCATCCCAGGACCCTGGGATCATGACCTGAGCTGAAGGCAGATGCTTAACCAACTGAGCCACCCAGGCGCCCCTACAACACTGAATTGTTAACTACGAGCACTGTATCGTTTGGCAGATTTCTTGAACTTCTTCACCCTGCATAACTGAAACTTTAGACCCCAGAACAGCAGCTCCTCATGTCCCCCTCCCCCCCGGCACTTAGCGACCCCCATTCTATTCTCTGCTTCTAGGAGTTTGGCTATTTTTGATTCCTCACGGAGGTGGAGTCCTGCAGCCTTTGGCCCTCTGTGACTGGCTTATTTCACTTGGCGTAGCATCCTCCAGGCCCAGCGGTGTTGTCACATGCGGCTGGAACCTTCGCTTCCTTCCTGCGGGGCGTGCATGGACTTTAAAGGCTGGTCTTTCCCTAGGTTAACTAATGCCCACACTTGTGGGTCTGTATTCCCAGAATTGACCTTCCTCCCCTTTCAGGACCTCACTAATGTTGGCGTCCCACTCTGGATCTCTGGCGCTTCTGTTCTATACTATTTCTCCAACATCCCCAATAATAATTTGGGTGTCTCATTTACACAACTTCTCTGTTTTCTGCACACTATTTTATTCTTTTTTTTTCTTTCTTTCTTTTTTTTTTTAAAGATTTTATTTATTTATTTGACAGAGAGAGAGACACAGCGAGAGAGGGAACACAAGCAGGGGGAGTGGGAGAGGGAGAAGCAGGCTTCCCGCAGAGCAGGGAGCCCGATGTGGGGCTCGATCCCAGGACCCTGTGATCATGACCTGAGCCGAAGGCAGACGCTTAATGACTGAGCCACCCACGCGCCCCCACACTATTTTATTCTAACATGAATTCATTTAGAGCAGTTAACTGACAGGGCTATCTCTCTGTAGACTGAAAAAGCCCGAGTTACAATACGTTTTGCTATCCATCCTGTTTTGTTTGTTTTTTTTTAAAACTTCCTTTTGCTTTTTATGACTGGAATTCTAGCAGTGCTAGTTTCTTCTTGAGTAAATTATTCTAAATTTGGAATTTCTAATGAAAAAGTTTCCTCTTAGCAAAAGCACTGATTGAGAGAACATTTCTTTCTACTCACAATTTTTCATTTTTAATATGTCACTTAAAATCTAAGTATTTTGGGGGTGGTGGGTTCCGAAAATAGAACAATGAATTTCACATTTACTGCACATTTCTACTTTTATTTGCAATTTACGAAGTACTTTCCTTTTAATAATTTTTTTTTCCATCTACCAGTTCAGCTGAGCTGGTTATGGTCTTCCTCCCTCTGACTTTCACCTTCATGTTTTTTTCTATCTACTCTCTCTTGCATCTTGGACCCTGTGCTCCTTCTGTCTTGATGGGGGTCTTAGTCTTAGGTTTTTCCTTCCACATTTTTCTTTTTCTTTTTTTAAGACTTTATTTATTAGAGAGAGAGAGAGCATGAGTAGGGGGAGGACCAGAAAGAGTAGCAGACTCCCCGCTGAGCAGGGAGCCCGACGAGGGCCTCAATCCCAGGACCCTGAGACCATGACCTGAGCTGAACGCAGATGCTTAATCAACTGAGCCACCCAGGCATCCCCACATTTTAATTTTTCAGAATATAATTTTTGATTGCAAAATTCATGCCCTAATGGAGCCTCTTGTCATTTTATTTTGTTCTCATTTAACTAGGCATCATCTTGTTTTTTTATGTTTTATTTTGTAGCCTATCTGCTGATGTAGCATCACTTTTGTCTCCAGTAAATGAAAGGAAAACATTTCCGCCCACTTAGTAGTTAGGCAAAGGGAAGGAAAAAAGCTTGAGTGCTCAGCAGTTCTCTGAGATGAGATAAATACGTGATGGATTTGCATTTTATTCTGCTTCACGGTTTGGTTCACTTGTCGGCATTTTGTATGTTCAGTAGTTTGGTGATTATTTGTCCAGGCTTTTACTTGATGCCTTTTAAGACATGAATTTTGATCCTATATAAAGAAAGTTTCCATAAAAACAGAAGGTTTTGATTTTTTTTCAGGCATAAAGAATTACTTTGCTACAGAACACAATGAATTGTGTTGAGATGGATATGAACAAACAAATATTTCAAATTATCCATATGACTGTTGGTCAAATCCTGCAGACGGCTAGCAAACATGAAAATAATTCAGACTGATGATGATGAATGCTTTCCCAGAAGCAAATGAACTATTGCTGGAATTAAAACGAGAAAGAGGATTTTACTGCCCAATTTGTATGTGGAGGGAAATGATGAAGGACAGTGATTTGCTATTTATAGTTTTTTCCCCCACAGCAGGAGAAAGTTTCCAAGTTTCAAAGTGGGTTTGATATATATATTTCTTGCAGACAAACCTTTGTTCAGAAAAACCAATATTCTGGCCTAAGAAAATAGAAATCTCCTCCAAATATTGGCCGATAACGATGACGTATATTAGTACGACGTAGAAATGTTTTAACATCCTATTTTAAGGTGTTAATGGTAGAGGAGGAAAGCTAGAGACTTAAAGAAATTGAGGTAGGATTCACATACAGAAAAATTCACCCTTTTTGGTCCTCAGTG